TTAAAACTCTTTACTTCACCATGCCAAATGGTTTATCATGGTAATGTTCAGTGACAAAGGCAATTAGATGGATTTCAGATCCCTCTGGAGAACTGTGTGACACACACAGCTCTGAAGATCTTCAATGATTGACAGAATCCTGCATGTCTGTCGCCACTGAACCATCACAAACAGCAATACATCTTCTGACCACATGTCCTGGAAGTGTCAGCTTCAGCAGTGAAATGCTGACCTCCTTTTTACAGGTAGTGTTAGCTGAAAAAAACACCACCTCACCTTCAGCCAAGTTAAAATAAATAATATAATATTTTAAAAAGCTTATAAATAATGTGGGTCTTATTAGCAGAAGTCTATTGTGCAGCTATTCAACAGTAGTCTAGATTATAACAGCTTACCCTACTGAACCAGTGTATGCTGGAGAAGAGAGCAAGTCAAGACTCACTTAACAAAACATCCTTGACATAACATATGTCTTCACTTTACCCTACAGTTTAGATTATAATTTTTAGCTTATACTAAGCTTTCAGGGTTTTTTTCCCCCAATGAATGTCCTCAATGCTGTCAGTTATACATGGTCATCGCCTTCCAAGCAACCATTACAGTCTTCATGCTTTAAATACAGACAAAATACTCAATATGTAAATTGCTCCTCCTTTACTTGCCATGGCTTGGAAACTTGTCAGCAGCCTTCCCAACCAGGTAAAGAACTGAACCTGCCCAGCTTCATCAAAAGGGTCTGATGAGCACAAACGCACTTGTCAGACATGGCTTTAACATGGGGAAATCTCACCTCTAGAATCACTCTAACCATCCAGCACTGCACAGTTTTGTTACTGATTGGCTCCAAAAACCGACAAATTAAAATTATTAAGTTCCTACTAAATCCAACATTAGGTATTGCAGAGTATGACGGTAGTGTTCCAAAAGGTATTTTGAGGACAATAGCCTAAATACTTCTGCAGGACTCTAGTCATTTAGTTAATGTTCTCATAGCTCTGACATGTTTGTTCTTTTAATACAAAATATTATTTGTAATTACAAATGGAATTTGCTAATAAACATGGCTGATAATGAAACGTAACTACACACAAACTTTGCTTTTTCACTGTATTTTAGAGATGTCTGTAAATACCATCCGTATATTTTGACAACTGCTTTCTGGAAACAAAAATATAAGGTGCCCTTAAAGAAATTTTCTGAATGCTTTCAAGCATCCCAAGGTTTAAAATAATTTGTTTTACTTTTAGCAGGAACCAAACATGAAGGGAAGAGGATAATGCAAACCAAACAAGGACACATGGACCTGGCACAGCAGGACATGGGCAGACCGGAGAGGTGGGCTGTGTGGAAAAGGGGTGCTTCAAGCAACAAGCCCAAGACACCATGTTCTCTCTTTGTGATGTGCTAAAATAGAGGAATATCAGTATAAACCCCCCTGTGGAAATAGTATTCCAGAACAAAAAGAAATAGAGACCCCATACAAGGACTGACCCAAGCACAACTACAGCGGGGTAAGGATTTTGTTATAGTTGCATCGAGAAATCTCACTGTGTTGCTAAAATCTCCAGTCCAGCCCCTCCACAGAGGAAATGATCTTTTTGCTCCAAGATACAACAGCATCTAAGAATACATGATGATGTTGAGAATGCTCAATGCCCACATAAGCCCAGACAACTTAAAACCAGAAGTTTTCTCCTTTGTTCTGCTCTGGTTATAAAATCCACTTCTGATTTTTTTCTGCCCTCTCAACATGTTTAAACACAACAAAGAAAAACAACTGTTTCAAAATTGTTCACACAAAGTGAAACATTATTATATGACATTCTTTCCTAGAAATCTTTTAAGTCTTATTTATTAACAGAATTAGTCTGATCATAAGCTGGCTGACACACAAAGTGTTGAAATATGTCATCTTCAAACCATGCTTTGCAAATGAAATTTTGGTGTTAATTCAGGGGATATAACAGAATCCTAGAATCTGGAATGAGAGCCAAACAACAAATGTGGTTCCTCTGGCAAAAAAGCATCATTTTCTCCCTTTTCTGTTGTGGGTTTGTCACTGCATGCTCTCCATCATCCTTTGCTTTCCAGAATCTACTTTTTGATGTGGAGTCCCCACTTGGCCATCAACTTCTTCATTAAAATGCTCTAAACATGTTTTGCAGTTCCAATCCCAGGAACTGTTTTGCACTTTAAATGCCAGAATCCAAAAGGATTTCATACATAAAATAAAAATCCTAAGGCTGGGATTTCATAAACAACCTCAAGGTATCTCTACAATTCAATCAGCCTTATGTTAGTGCCAAATCCAGCCAGCAACCACTGCCCAAAGCAGCAGCACAGTTAGGTAAATGCTCTGACCATTTGTCTGTGTTAAACTCGGGGTTGTTGTGGCTGGATTGCTATTGGGATGCCAGCACACTCTTAAATTTAACCTTAATAAGTTTCTATTACACCTCAGTGACCAGCATAGCTCCTGCACTGCATTCAGAGCAGTTCAGCACCCAAACCCTAACTGGAAGGTGCCTTCTGAAACCTCAGCTTGAAGCATCACAAATGGGTTAATAGACATGGCAATTTAAGCAGCTTTTCCAAGCATCTGCAGGGCATTAATATAATTGTGCTCTCAACTAATCCTATGGTCTAAACCAATGGTTCCTGATCTTTGAAGTGTAAGCACATCACAGGAGAGGCATGGCACAGAGACCAGGTGAGCTTTGCTGGATTTGCCCCATGCCAGGCCAATTCCAGTGTCCTTGTACTCTGCTCCAAAGAATACAAGTGCTGGTAAGTTCAAAGCAAAGATATCTACTGAAGGGTGAGCTGTACTTTTGGGATTATTCTGCGCCAACAGTGTTGTAATCCCAACAAGCTCAAACTCAACAGCAGAGGAAAGGCAATGACAGGAGTCCATCAGTTGCTCAGCACTGTGTCAGACCACTGCTGCTCAGCTCTTTGTTATTAGACATCGCAACTCCATGGCATCCAAACTGGTTACCTTATAACCCACAAGAAAGGAATGCAGTGAGCCAAGATTTTATCCTGATTTTATGACTCTGACAGCAGAAAGTCTGACTTGCCTTTAGGCCAGATAAATCACCATATAATACAGAATGGCAAGTACTCCAAGCATTTGCTTCAAACTGACCCAAAATGAGGCCATCTGAAACCAAAAAACATTGCTCAGATTGGGGTTTTTAGGTTGCGAAAAGTGGCCAAATGATCTTAAAAGTTTCATTTATTCTTTTTTCACTAATGTTTAAGATACTATCTTAAAAAGTAATCAATATTAAGGAGCTAGATACAACTGTGAAATATCAATGTAGAAATCTAACTAGCAAAGCAAGTCAGAAATATGAATTAACATCGACATCATGTGTTATGGCATCCACATCTGGATATCGCTTTACTGACTACATCCAAAATTTCTTGGAGAGCTACTTGGGTTCTGTAAAAGTGGATTTCTCCCTTTGAAAGGAAATAATAATTGGAAGGTCTTACAGGAAGTCACTCAATACCATAGAAAGGAAATTGCAATGTGTTCCTCAATGTTAGTTTAAATCAATGTTATATTTAGCAAATGCCTGTATTTTAACCATAGTCTTTTTAATAGGTTCTACTATATTAAGTCTTCTCAAAGGCTTATGCTATATTAAGAGTTACTTTGTTTTTAGAATGTTTTTAATCACCCCTCAAAGTCTTCAGCTTGCCCTAGGATAGATGCTGTTCCCCATCTCCAGCGCATCTAGGATTCTGTTTCCATGAAAACCAGTGTTTTTTGCCCCAAGCTAATAAAAGCAAAGTATTTGTACACATGCTCATCTAGAAGTACGTGTGGTTCTTAAAAATACAAAGTGATTGAGTATTAAAACCACCTCTTTCTGTTTCCAGAAGTATACACAGCAGTTTACCTTCCTAAGAATTTTCTGTTTGGGTACCTGGCTTTCAGTAATTCCATTAAATCAGTGGTTTCAAAGGAATATTTTTTAGCAGTACAATAGTAGTGATACTAAACAAAGTTCAAGAGCTCCAAGGATAACATTTCCTCTAACTTCTTCCCCAGGCTGACCAAATCTGACAAAACATACTTGAGCCCCAGTGCTGAGCCTGCTCAGAAACCCTGTGCAGAAACCATGAGTTTCTGGATTCAACACCACCATTCATTGTTTGGCACTAGCAAATGCCTTTACAAAGAAAAAAGAAGGAATTTCCTTCTTCTATACAACTTTTAATGAAGTGTTTTTGTTGTCAGCCCTTACAGATTGCATAGTTTTAACTTTTTCCATTGCACTTTACTAGTCTGAAAGGAAAAGTGTTTAAAAACTGATTCTGCTTGCTTCTGCAGGTGGGATTCTCTGCAGTCGCTTTGTATCAAGATGTCAAAGAAGCAAGAAGCAGAGCCCAAATATTCAGAACACAGTCTCTTAAAGCTTCTTTAGCACAGGATAGACAATGCAACTCTGATGCAATCAGAAATCTAATGAAAAAAAGAAGTTGTGCATGAAAATACTTCATTCCATTCATATCTAGCACAGATTTTGCATAGTTTTCAATGGAACCTAAGAACATAATTTCTTTCATTGTAGCCTTAAATGTGAAAGTTAAGAAAGTGTTGTGAAAACCAAGCTAAAGCCTGTGCCCATGTGGGCTCTCCTATTTTCACCTTTTTTTTTTCCAAGTACTAAAAGCACTCATGTAAAGGTGCTGAAAATACGTTAAAATATCTGAGTCAATATTAGAAGAAAGAGAACAGGAAAGTCTGAAGTATTTGACTGAAGTGGATGGATTAGACTCGCCAAACCCAAAGGTTTTATGCAGGCGTATGATCAGCTAGAGGAAAGCGAACCTGAGTCATCAGATACATCAAAGTCAAGGTCCAGTGAATGGAATTAGTGTGCGCTGTGTGAACAGGAATGATACCTGCATTCATCTGCCCACTGCAGAACTTTTAATTACACTCAAACAGCCAGTAGCATCAGTGACTGAAATCCCCGGATTACCTTGATTGCTCTGTCATTATCTGTAATCAGCTGCTGCTTCTTATCTTCAAACTTTTGTACAACTTCCTGGAGCCGCTGCTCTCCGGCAAGCTGCTGCCGGTTGCTCTCCTCTGTCAGAGAGGAAATGGTTGTCTTAAGTTCAGCTATGATCTAAAAAGAAAACAGCATGCTAAATCTCCCTTCAGTTAAAGGCATGTACTTTGCATGTTTCTATGCTTGCTACAAGCATGGCACTGGCAAACTCTGCTGCGCAAGCTAAATAGTTTAAATTAACATATGACACACTAGCAAGCATGAAATTCCATGCAGAGAAAAGGAATAAAGCTGCAAATGACAAAAACTGCTGAACACAAAATATTTGGAAGGGTTTTCCACTATGACATTCCAAAATATTTACTCATGAGAACAAAGCACATCTGTGAGCTTTAGAACAGAGCATGCTTCCAGCCTGCCACTGCACTGAAACCAGCAGTGCAAATTCACATGGTGGTTGTGGTGTTTGGATACTTTATAGCTTGAGACTTGATACTGCAGGGAAGAAAAAAACCCCACATTTACATACTGGAGTGAAATTTAAACTTGATAGTGAAAACTTCTGAGCTGCTGGAAGGAGCATATTCTGCTTAGCAATACAGTGGGGACCTGATTCATTGTCCAGGACCCTTAAACCAGCCCTTGCACATGATTTGCTTGTGATTTGTTGAAATGTACTTGTTTCACCTTTTTTATCACTGGGAAAAGTCATAACTAAACCTGATCCTTTCGGCATATTTACAGAATTTTATGCTGACATGTCATCACCCAGCAAAGCACTTAAACATATGGGAGAGTACCTGACTTCAATGTATATATGCAAGCTTAAGGTTAAGCTGCCGTAGCAGCATGATATAGTCTAAGAACACTTCAGCACACAGGCAGGTCAGGGAGGAACTAGAGTGCTTGGACCTGTGTGTCTGCAAGGCCTCCTCTTTGGTAGAGAAACAGATATATTAAGGATACAGTTCTTTAGGAAAAAAAAAAAGGCTTTTAAACACTCCTACTAGGATAGGACTAACATAATAAGAAAGATGCGAGAAATGAAGGTACTAAAATCACAGAGGAAGGGAAACAGGACTGATTGAAGCTCTACAGAAAACTTAATTCTCTGTTTTACTAGCTAAAAATCTAAGAGAGGAATACAGAGTAAAACCTACATGGATATCCCTGTATTTCTTTTTTAAAACCAAATACCTATTAAATAATACAATACACCAATTAAAAGCAAGGCTATTAATAAGATCAGTGTGCCAAAGTGTAGAGATTATCTGGGTGGGTGTAACTCTGCAGGAAGAATTAAGCAGCGTCACTGGGTTTGCAATTCAGGCCATCATTCAGCTGCCACAATTTGCATAAATTTGGCTTTTTTGGTATGTACCCACTTATAAGGATCATACAAAACCATATGAAATATTAAGATAACAACTTGAAGCCATGCAAACCTGTAACAAACCCTTTCATATAACACAAAAATGAGATTTAAAGCTTTGACTAGGTTAAGTCCCTGGGCTCGCACAGGAGTTCTGAAATGCATGCAAGGGAATTTCAGCATGAACTGATGGAGAAAGATGTGCTTTGTGCAGTGCTTTTCAGAGGAAAAAAATATCTGTTTACTTTGTATAAACTTCAGAGGAAATGTCTTGAAATCTCTCCTCTGTGTGGGTGTTAAAAGTGAATGTTCCAAGAGGCCACAGAGAGTAGGATTAGACAGATGTTGTCAGCAACACGACCACAAGGAAAGTTGCAACTGACCTATTATTAATACTGAGCTACAAACCCTCCTATGTCCAAGTAACTTTGGGGGTTTGATTCAAGCCAACTAAAGTAAAGACATTCAGACATCAGGGCGAAACTCCTTTATTGTGCCAAATAGCCCTGATGCATGACGTACGTCTTGTGTCTGCCACTGAGAGCACGGAGGGATGCCAGTTCTGGCCACTGAGCCCATCTCTCCCCAGTAAGAGAACAGTGTGGTAGGTACAGCAATGCCTAGCTTGAAGAAGAAAGAAAGCCTCAAATTTTCCCTTTTGAGACTATTCTACAGGGCAAACAATTTCAGTCTGACAAAATTCATTATGACATTGAGGTTAAATAGTCATTGCCTTGCATCTAGGTGTTCCCACTGCAACAATTACAGCCATTTCCCTCAGCCCTTGTTTAAAACATCCAGAAAGGCTCAAATTATTAAATGCTTCTATTCCATCTCCCTTCAACAAATGGACCAAGACCCATTTTTGTATTGACAGTAAACTGTGTCTGGCACAGAGGGGCTGACTGATTACATTCACTAGGCATGACAAAAGCATAAAAATGACAAGAGGTGAAATAGAATCAGCAATGAAAGGGATCTCTTCCTTCAGGTCTGGCATGCAATAAATGTTACTTTTTGAGCTTTATCATTTCTCTGCTCTTCAGGTTCAGGTGGCAAGATAAAAAAATGAAGGGTGTTGGGATTTGTTTGTTTCTTGCTTTCTATATAAGGCCCTCAACAAATTATTAAAAGACATTTAGGAGAGCATCTTCTCTGATGTATCACAGAATCATGGAACCAGTGAGAGAAGAAGGGTCACCAGAGCTGGTTGCTGAGTCAGGTTTTGAGTGTCTCCAAGGATGGAGATTTCACAATCCCTCTGTATGCAAATACATGTGCATAAAATATAAATCAGGATTTAGAAATATAATGTAAAAACTTATTTACCAATGATTCTGATAAATGCAGTGAAATAAATGTAGCATGTAACAGCGATAGCCCTATAAACTTCAGCGAAACAACTAAAGTCACAATTTGGACAAGTGCTACAGAGACTCAAAGGTAGCCAAAAAGCTTAGATCTTGTGTTTTAATAAGTGTAGGTAAACCAGTAAATTCTGCAGCTTCTTATTGTCTCACTGATCACTTCTGCCCAGCTTAGAGGCCTCTCAACTATTCTTTGCAGTGTTTCTATTGATTTGTAAAGAGATCATTAGACTATTATTACTACTGCTGAAAACACACTTGCAAGTGCAGGCATCCTGCTGTGGTTGGGAGGAATGAGAAGAATGACACCTTCACATAAAACCTCGTGGCAGTTTTCTTACTATTAAAAGCTTAACTTCTGGTTGCATCTCCATCAGTTTTCACACTTCAGTATTACCTGTCAATCAAACTGACAGCTGGAATATTTCAAAATCATCCTGTCTTCTCATTTTTAAGTATATATGTAAATTCAGCACACATCTTCATCTTCCATGTTCAAAGGACTACTCTGAAGAACAACAACTCACGTCAAACCCACTTTGTTTTCAGGACACTGACACTCTTCAAAGTGCTATTCTGGGCAGAAATGCTGAAGGGCCTAGGAGCAATGATGAACACGGAGATGGCAGAACTGGGAATGCCGTTCTGCCATTGGCTGCGCTGGCAACCATCACCTTGTAACATTAAATGCAAGCCCTGGTTGTGTGAATGTCCCTGATTTTATGAGATGAGCTGGTTAACACGGCACCTCACCTTTCCTTCCCACTGACTGGGGGAGGATTTGGACCTCTTGAGTGCTCAGGAGATGAAAAAGTAGGTGACTGGAGCACCTCTCCTGTGAAGACAGGCTGAAAGCTGGGCTTGTTCAGCCTGGAGAGGCTCCAGGGAGACCTTAGAGCAGCTTCAGTGCCTAAAGGGGCTACAGGAAACCCTTTAGACAAGGGCCTGTAGGGACAGGATGAGGGGAATGGCTTTAACCTGCCAGAGGGGAGATAGAGATGAGCTCTTAGGCAGAAGCTCTTCCCTGTGAGGGTGCTGAGGCGCTGGCACAGGGTGCCCAGAGAAGCTGTGGCTGCCCCATCCCTGGCAGTGTTTAAGGCCAGGCTTGGAGCACCCTACTCTAGTGGAAGGTGTCCGTGGCAGAGGTTGGAACTGGATGAGCTTTAAGGTCCCTTCCACCAAAAAACAGGTTGGGATTCTATAAGATTTCAAACTCAAAAAACCCCCACCCATATTTTCTAGTCAGCTTTAATGCTCTTTGTTATTTGAAAGGTTAAAATCAGTAAGATAGACACTGGATTGGAAATGATTATGGCTTCTCTTTCTCATCAAGACCTACAGTTCAGAGCAGAAATAATTACACTTCTCATCAAGTTTCCAAATCAAATGCATTCACCTGAGGTTCCTGTCTTCTCGCTACCTACCTGCGAGGATTTAGCCAGCTTCTGACTGTACTCCTTTTCAGCCTGCTTTAGCCGGCAGTTTGCCTGAAACACACACAAAAGGCAACCAGATTAGCTCAGATGAAGAACGTGTACAGACACTTTGCCACCGACCCCTCCGCTTGGCACCTCATCCACATGCCTATCGCGGAGCGGCTGGGACCCGCGCCAACTCCAACGCCCTTTTGTGGCAGCCAAAAAACCGCGAGGGCTTGTCTTTGATCTCGGGCCAACTATTCATCACTTGAAAGAGGGGAGAAATTGTACCTCTGCTGCCAATTATTAGAAAAACATAAAGACTTCTGCAGATTAAAAACCAGAGAGTGAGTGAGTGAGTGTGTGTGGGGGGCAGGAGGCAACGCACACAGGAGTTTATTGGGGTGACTTCGTTTCTGAATGCAGGGAAAAGCGAAGGAGAAAGTCCCAGGCATGGGGACATGAAGGACACAGCTTCATGTCTCAGCCTGGTGCCTGCAACTGCCTTTTGTCCCATTGCACGTCCTTTCCTGTTTAAAGGTGGCGATTGCACTGAAAATCGACCCGACACACAGCTGAACCAACTGGGAGCTCCTGGACACCCAGTTCTTTCCTGCTCCTAGCATTTTTTTTCCCAACTTGAAGATAAAGAAGAGAACAAACTGAAAACAAGGCGGCTTTGTCACACTGGAACCCAATGAGCAAATATTTCTGTAACTCTGGGGAAAGTAGCTCTTTTTTTTTTTCTCACAGAATTTAATTTCAAAAATAATTCAATAATACTAACAATTTAAAGCAAATTCAATTTCATTTCAGAGCACAACTCTGATTTGTATTTTCCCTGCAAAATGCCATAGCATTATATCAATAGAGCAGCCTCAAAACACTGTCCTCGGATGAACTGCTGAACACTCGCATGTTCTTGGCTCTAAAGTTTGAGGACAGGTGTCTAAGAGAACTATTTTCTGAGGGGGGCAGGATATTACAAAAGCAAATTTAAGCTGATTAAGTTTTCAAAATCTATCTGACCTTATGTTCAAATCTTTGATCTGTCATCTTTAGTTTTACGGCGCAGCATCCAGCACACAAACACATGCTCTATCAGTTGCTCATGTGCCAGTGTGTGTTTTGGGGGACCACAGAAGCCAAGGAGACCCCCACCCCAAAGCCTCTGAACCCTGCTTGGATCCAGCTGCAGGACTGAAACTCCATGTCTGCAAACACCAGGGATTTCAGTCAAGCAAACACGCTTATTGATTTTACTGGACTATAAATTGAGGAGCTTAAAGTTGCAGAGTGTGTTTGCGAATCACCACCGGGGTTGATAGGGCTCAAATCATCCTGTGCAATCCAGGCAGTTCTGTATGGTGCAGCTTAATATAAGTATATTACAGCCAGTTAAAAATAATCTTAAAGCTGCACATGATACTACAATTTAAGATTCTGAATCCCTTCAAATTCTGAGATTATGAAGCTCTTTGAGGTCCATATGTCATCTGTTTGTTGGTACTAAGAAATCTACTAAGAATCAAACCCAATTCTTATCAAAGCCAGTTAATCAAACCCAATCAAAACTGTCTATGCATGATTTCTGAGAACACATGCTTTTGGTTATTTTTTGTTATAAATAAAGATAATGGCACTACTTATTGTTTGAAAACAGCATATACAAGAATTCTGGAGCACCAACCAAATGCAATTCCACTTCTACATTTATCACCTGAAGTGTGCCACAAACACTGCAAAGGCATATTATGGGGTTGCAGAAATGAAAAGAGAGCAGTAACACAAAAGGGGTTATGCCAGAGGACTCTGTGTGTGTTACATTTCCCTTTGTATTCAGGCTGACCCATGTTAACACTCCTTCCCCTATTGTCTAGGTTCAGATTACGTTTTACCACCACTGCATATCATCAAGTGCCTGAATCTGCCAGTTTATCTTTAGGGAAAGTAAAAATATAAATTACAGTAATAATATAAATTGCTGTTACTCCCAGAAAGGGAGAGATACCAGTCAGCAAGCACCGCAGAGAAGATCACATTACAGCTGCTCTCACTCAACTTGCCTGGGGTAAAAGTCTTCATCTTTCATAGAAGCAGCTTTATAACCTCCTGAACCCATAGAAGAAATCCCAATAAATAATAAGAAACCACTCATAAGTTCCATAAACAAATTGGAAATGGTTTGTGCACACCAAGTAGAACCAGAATGACCTCTGATAGACATGACAGAGGCCAGCCAAAAGAAAGATACGCCAAATTCCTGTGCTTTAGTCCTAACTGAAGGCAAAGAAAGTACATCCTACCAGTTTATTTAAAGGCAATTATGACATTTTATTTTATAATGCCTTTAACAAATACCAATTAGCAAAATATATATGCACGTTGTCTCCCAGTCATCAACCAACCACAAATTAGTGCATTCACTGCAGTCCCAAACATCTTTATTTGAGGGGTCTGATTTTCAGAAGTACTGAGCTACCAAAGCTGCCACTGGAGATGGTGACAACACATTTAGAACATCTCTAGCTGTCTAAAACTGACTGTATCCCGACCCTGTGGCACTAACAACTACTGCCCCATGATGACTTCAGCTTTTCTTTTGGATCTGTAACACCGCACAGGTCTTGCATCATCACAAACTGCACAGGTAGCACCAGGGAAGCTTTGCAGAAGCAGTGACCATATGTGACCACATACTGGCCAGCTGAGAAGAGCTAATTCATGGCAATGCACAGGAGCACTCTTTTCCCTCATCTTTTTTTACTGCAGACATAAAAAAATTTCCCTTTTTAAAGCCTGCAACTAAACTAATTTAATACCTCTCGCCTATAGGCTGCTGCTTTGCAGCCTAGGGAGGCACAAACCTCCTCCCCTGGGGCACATACAGCACTGCTACACACAAAAAAGCACCTTTTTACCTTCTTTTTTTTTGAAGGAATGACTTACAGCAAAGTAAATACACATAGCTGCATACTGTGAACATCACAGGGGATTTATATTACATTTATCTTGACAAGTGAGCAGGTTCAAAATGGCCTGGTATACACAAGCAGCAGTTTCCTTTTATAACAGGCTGCTCTGCTCACGCATTGTATGAAGCACAAGCTGCTTCTGTATTATTTTAAGGGCATTCCCTCACTTGCAGGTTACATGCTATTTCAGAAACATAATGAATAAGAATCCAACTGGAAGGTGAACATTTGTAGGGTCAGCCAGTATTCATTAAAGTCTAACTCTTTTTATAGGGATGGGCAGCGCTGCAAATAGAGTTAATGGTCTTAAACTAGTTTTCCGTGTGCGAGAGGCAGCTGTTGGAATTCACACTTGGCAACAACTTGTCAGAAATATCAATTGTAATATCCATTCTTAGGATAAAAAGGTTTCAATTGGATAAGCCATAGAGGAATTCCACCGATTCAAAAATTAACTTCTGTTTAGTTTCACACAGTTAATACATATTTTAGCTGAATTATCTGATTAGGACAATTTTACATGCAGTTATTCTATATTACAGAGTGAGGACTTTTGCATTAAAAAGATTATGTCCTTGTTACAGTTAATTGGGTTTAAAAACCAACTATAATTCTATAACAAGCCTCAAAGCATCATATTGTGGTTGCTGAGCAAAACTGCACCGGCTTCAACAAAACATTTCACGTGAATATTAAAGCTGGTTTTAGCACTGGAGACGTGGTATCTGAATTAGTGTCTGCTATTCTAACACGAGCTGAGCATCAGTGTTTCCTTTCATGAAACAGAACAGCAGTGCTAAGAATAAAAGAGCAAAGGATCTATGGTGGGATCACACCATGAAAGCATACCATGTCCTACCCGAATTGCAAAGTTTCTATATGCTATTTTTAAGGTATATGATGTATTAAAGGGGACTTTTCTAGTTCTACTTGATGGATTGCATGCTCTGAACAGCCCCAGGGGCTGCTCACCAGCACAATGTCAATAGTAGCTCTGGCTGCACTGTGGGGTTGGCAGGCACACGGACAACTTCATCCTCCACCAACATCCATGAAGGCGTTGAAGACGGCTTGAATGCTTATCAAAAATACAGCTGTTGAGAATTTTCTGGAGCAGCCCAAATCTGTACACAGGGACATGGTTTTAGTGGGACTTGGCAGTGTCTGGTTTACAGTTGGACTCAATGATCTTAAAGGTCTTTTCCAACCTAAACGATTCCATGACTCTCTATCTTCCAGCTTTGGAATGGTGATTTTTGGATGGAAAGTTAGACTGCAATTGTGCACAAAATTAACAGGAAAACTAATTCCTGCAACCCAAATGCATACAGATCTGTAGGAGTTAAGGATGCATAGGGAAATCCTGTTCATCTATCTATGAATTACAGTTTGTGACTGGTTCAGTGGTGTTTCAGTTTGATTGCAATCTCCCAATACAGAAAACCCTCACAAACATAACTCTCATAAAATAGAGGGTTACATACATAAAATAGAGGGTTACATACGTATAGATACACACACTCATATTCACTAACAGAAAAGCAGCTTTAAGAAAACTGCTTAGGGTACTAGCTATGAAAGAGTAATTCTTTCAAAATGCCTGCAACTAGCTAAATGATGGCTGATCCTCCATAATTAGTTAGATAAAAGTGTAAGCAAACTGGGGGGAAAAAAAGAAGAAGGAAAAAAAAATCAAAGGGTGGGGGAAGGAGAAGAAAGAAAACTTGCTCCAGGGAAGAAGCAACTGTTCTCTGATGTGCAGCAAAGAATTTAACATCAAAGAACTAATGTAAATGGGGCCCATTTACCTTAAAAAACAACACACCACTCCGCATTCTGGAATATTTCTATTTAAGTTTGACAGTATTATGCTTTGTACTAAAATTCAGGATTGTGTAATTTGACAGATGTCAAACGAAAATGACCTTCAGGATGGCGAACTGGAGCAATTTTTGTTATTAAGCATGTTAAACGGCTCTGTACACTATCTGTTTAAACTCCAGAGATTAGCAGAGCACCTTTTAAGTTCATCTGATTGTACACAGAAATTTCATTTCAACCTCAAAGCCTGAAACATGTATTTTCCTTATGTAC